GGGACTTTTCCCCCAGCCTCCCCCCCAAATTCCTAGTTTTCCTGTTGGAAAAATCAGAGTTGTCTAACATCAAAACCGTGGCCTGTTCCATTAGCAAAGAGGACATGAGGTTCAATGTCACACACTGATGCACTTCTGGGAGAGTCTCAGGGTCCAAATCCCTATGCAACACAAGATGCTTTCACATAGGAAGGCCACTCCAGGTGAACAAGCAGGCACTGAAATAAGTTTACGTTTGGCCTGCGCTAGCTGCCTCCTAAAAAGAGCTATGTGAGACAGGAATTGAGTTCCAGATGAACAAGCAAGGCACTGAAATAAATCAACAGGACTGGAACATTTTAAGCTTGGCTTGGCTGCTGCCTAAAGAGAGCTTCGTGAGATAAGAACTGGCTCTCCGCCCAGGGCCGAAAAAACGTTTCAGGCTTCGAAGAACCCGCGTTAAGTATTCCTGCTCAAGTCCCAGAAAAGGCTGGATCCCCCGTCCTAAAAATTGTAAGACATCCAAACACTTCCTCCTTTTGCCAGTAGCAGTTCATGCAGAACCAACCAGGTCATATTGATACCATGAGCTTTAAGCGAAGTCAGTAACCTCCATCCAAGTGAAGGAATCTCTGACTTCAAATAGCTAAAGGATTAAGAAGAAGCAGATAATAGGCGGAAGTGTCGGGAGAGGACTGGGAACCATCTAGGAACACCTGCCCTCTTTACTGTTTCACCTTGACAGAGAGAACTGATCCTGATAGGTTGCGCATTCAACAGATATCCAGATGTAGTCAGTTTGGTGTAGTGGTTAAAGGCACGGACTCTAATCTGAGAGAAGCGGGTTTGATTCCCCACTCCTCCACTTGCACCAGGCTGGATGACCTTGGGTAAGCCGTAGTTCTGACAAGAGCTGTCCTTGAAAAAGAGCCGTTTCTGTCAGAGCTCTCTCAGCCCCACCTGCCTCACAGGGTGTCTGTGGTGGGGAGGAGAAGGGAAAGGAGTTTGAAGCCACTCTGAGACTCCTTTGGGTAGTGACGGGAGGGGTATAAATCCAATCTTTTCTTCTTCTTCTTCTTATAGCATTGGAAAAAGTGCAGAAAAGGGCAACTCGAATGATAAAAGGATTGGAACACTTTCCCTATGAAGAAAGGTTAGGCGCTTGGGGCTCTTTAGCTTGGAGAAATGATGGCTGAGGGGTGACATGATTGAGGTTTACAAGATTATGCATGGAATAGAGCAGGTAGAGAAAGAGGTACTTTTCTCCCTTTCTCACAAGACAAGAACTCATGGGCACTCCATGAAATTGCTGAGCGGTTGGGTTAGAACGGATAAGAGGAAGTACTTCTTCATTCAAAGAGTGATTAAGACATTGAATTCACTGCCACAGGAGGTGGTGGCAGCTACAAGCATGGACGGCTTCAAGAGGGAATTAGATAAGTATATGGAGCAGAGGTCCATCAGTGGCTATTAGCCACAAAGTATAGACAGGAACTCTCAGGCTGGGGCAAGTGATGCTCTGTATTTTTGGTGCTGGGGGGGGGGCAACAGTGGGAGGGCTTCTAGTGTCCTGGCACCGCTGGTGGACCTCCTGATGGCACCTGGTGTTTTTGGCCACTGTGTGACAGTGTGTTGGATTGGATGGGCCACTGGCCTGATCCAACGTTGGTTTCTCTTATGTTCTTATGAATTGGATAAACATATGGAGCAGAGGTCCATTAGTGGCTATTAGCCACAAGGTATAGATGGGAACTCTCGGTCTGGGGCAAGGGATGCTCTGTATTCTTGGTGCTTCGGGGAGGGGGGGGCAACAGTGGGAGGGCTTTTAGTGTCCTGGCCCCACTGTTGGACCTCCTGATGGCACCTGGTATTTTTGGCCACTGTGTGACAGAGTGTTGGACTGGATGGGCCATTAGCCTGATCCATCATTGGCTTCTCTTATGTCCTTATGTTCACAACAGCCTAAGAGTACCAGGGCCTCAGATAGGCCTTAGGCAGTAAGCAATACAGTGTGGTAAGCGCCACTTTTAGGGAATACTGGTTTGGTGTAGTGGTTAGGTGCGTGGACTCTAATCTGGGAGAACCGGGTTTGATTCCCCGCTCCTCCACTTGCACCTGGCTGGATGACCTTGGGCAAGCCATAACTCTGGCACAGCTGTTCTTGAAAAAGAGCAGTTTCTGTCAAGAGTTCTCTCAGCCCCACCTACCTCACAGGGTGTCTGTTGTGGGGAGGGGAAGGGAAAGGAGTTTGTAAGCCGCTCTGAGACACCTTTGGGTGGTGAAGGGCGGGGTATAAATCCAATCTCTTCTTCTTCTTCTTTTTGATTAAGAGCAGGTATAAGAGCATGCCCTCTTACATACACTAGAATCAGAGTACTCACTATTACAGTAGGTGATTTGATTTCTAAAGCAAAACACAAATCCATTTAAGATAGCTGCTGACAGATGTTAGTCACATTTGCTAAAAAAAATTCCCACATGGAGAGCAATGCTCCCTCTAAGCTGTGGAGTCATGTGAGCAAAAATTCTGCTTTGTGAGCTACTGGCATTCAAGTTGTGAGTAAGCGGTTTGACTACGGCATAAATTAGTTTGCTCTGGAGCCATCCTTCCTGAGCCAAGACAAAAAGGTGAGTTGGAGGCTAAAAAACTGTTCGCCCAGCAAGCAACCGTTCATGTTCTAGACCAGTGGGCTCAGACCTCAAAGTGGGTCCTGTCTCACTTGCGAGTGGACTGCAAGGCCAAGAGGAAGGGTGATGAGGAGGCTCTGGGAAGTTCAAGGGCAAATTTGAGATCTGCCTCTGCATAACATGGCCACAAAACAAGCCTGTTGCCCAGTCATGCTACGGACGGTAAATGCCATATCATCCGGCGCTTGGTTAACGAGCACACTCAGCCATAGCCAGAACATGTATCCTCTGCCAGAAATTTTGGCCAATGTGGAGGGAGGTGGAGCAGAAGGGGTGCATTCCAACTGTGACTGTGTGGAGGATTTAAAGGGCCAGAACACTGCATGCCCAAGCCCTTTAAATGTCTGTCTCCCATCATGCAGCTGACTGGAGGTGGTGGTGGGGGAGCTGAGCATTTTGGTGATGCACATCACTTGTATATAACAGGTATCCTGTGTGTGGGGGGGGAATTCCCTAGAAGAGACGGATTCCAGAAAAGCAACCAAATTAACCTGCAACTGTACACAGCAGAGGACAACTATGTAATTGCATTATAAGTTCATCACAGCATCAAATTGATAAAAATCTATATTCTCTGTATGTTCCGGTTATTTATTCAGAAGGTAGATGTTATCACTGCGATGAGCAGTGGGCTCAAAGCGATGTACAGTTACACATTTTAGACAGGGGACTAACAATGTTCATAGGGCATAGGGAAGACAACATCTATTCATTTAATTGCACACGCTGTCACTGCACGGTGTAAACGTCTTGCTTTCAAACTGCTAGGTTGGCCAGAGACGGGAGCTCACTCCGTCACGCGACACTCGAGTCTCGAACTGCTGAACTACCAACGTTCCGGTCTGCAGCTCAGCATCTTAACCACTGAGCCACCACAGCCCCTGGTAGGGATCTTGAAGGCAACGGCTAAATACAGTTCAGCTCCTGGCCAATGCTCCCTCTAAGCTGTGGGGTCTTGTGAGCAAAAATTCTGCTTTGTTGAGCTCCTGGCATTAAAGTTGTGAGCTTTGGTTGCTGCATAAATCAGTTTGCCCTGGAGCCGTCCTTCCTGAGCTGAGACAAAAATGTGTGAGCCGGAAAAAACTGAGCTAGCTCACACTCACTCAGCTTAGAGGGAACACTGCTCCCAGTTACTGGGTTTTAGAGAATTCCTGCTTCTGAATATGGAGGTTCCGTTTTGCAGTCGTGGCAAACAGCCCTAGAGGGGCCTTTCGTCCCTGAACAGCCTCCTTCCCAAAGAAACTCCATGCATTTGTTATTCACCAGTAAAGCAAAGTTTGAGCCCAGTGGCACCTTTAACACCAACGAAGTTTAATTCTGGGTCTAACAAAATTTGTGTCAGGGGATGAGCTTTGGTTAGTCAGATATCTGAAGAAGTGAGCAGTGACTCAGGAAAGCTCCCGCCCCGCCACAAATGTTGTTAAGCCTTTCAGTTGCTCCTGGGCTCTTGCTCTTTTCTACTGCTACAGATAGACTGACACGTCTACCCATCAGCAGTTCGAGACCCAAGTGTTGCGTGACGGAGTGAGCTCCCGTCTCTGGCCAACCTAGCAGTTTGAAAGCAAAGACGTTTACACCGTGCATTGGCAGTGTGTGCAATTAAATGAATAGATGTTGTCTTCCCTATCCCCTATGAACACTGTTAGTCCCCTGTCTAAAATGTGTAACTGTACATCGCTCTGATCCCACTGGGGAAAGCGATTAATAAATTGAAAGTATTATTATTATTAGAAACTGCAAGTAGATTAAAAGCCACCACTTTGATGGGAAGGTAACAGCATTCTGTGCGCCTCGGTGTCTAGTCATGCCGGCCACATGACCACGGAAACGTCTTCGGACAGCGCCGGCTCTTCGGCTTGGAAACGGAGATGAGCACCGCAACCCTAGAGTCGGATTCGACTGGCTTTCGAGCAAGCGGAACCATGACCCTTTACCTTCGAGACCCCTCGATCTGCTTGCACCTGCAGTAACCGGTGGTCCTCAGCAGTCCCTCTCAAATCCAACACAGCAAGGGACTTCTTCTTATGGTGCAACCGCCGAGAACGCGTGTCAGACAATTCAGACGTTCCTACACGAGCCGTTCTAGGCACGGAATACCCGAAGCGACCGATGAGAGAGGCACTTTGAAGGCATCGCTATCCGTTCTGGGCCCCTCCCCTATCCAGAACAAGCCTTCGACTCACCCCGTCCCGCCGTTCACACGTGAACGCGACACGTGAACAACGGCTACGCCCGGGTTGCCTAGCAACCCCCACCACCCCCGAGAAAGCGCTCGTGTGAATGAAACACGGGAGGGGGGGAAAGACCGCCCACCCCTAAAACAACCCCGTTACCTTCCCGGTCGGCGCCGCTGCCTCCTCAGCACCCTTCAGTCTCGCAACCGGAAACGGCCGCGCCACAGAACAACCCCCCCCGCCCCGCCTTCTCTATGCCCCGCCTCGTCCCAGCCGTGAACTCAATCAGAAGGGGCCGTGCCGAACTGGTGGCTTTCTGATTGGTCTCGTCTCCTGACACTCTGCGGTTCCTCCTAGGCCCCTCCCCCTGAGTCTGTCGCCGTCCGACCCCAGGAAAGGAAATAGAAGCTGAGAGGGAGAAGGAGGCCGGGGAAGGGGGGTGGGGGTCGGCGCGGATTGGCCGGAAAGCGCCACGTCCTCACGGCGCGCGCTCCGGGGACAGTTGGCTCCGCCCAACTCCCCAATCCGCGATGGAGGTTGGCGGATCGGGCGGCCTCTGAGGAGAGGGGAAGCCGAGAACGCATGCGCCGAGTGCCGAGCGGGCGCAGGGCGACCGATCTGCAAGGCGGGAAACGGGGGGTGGAGAACGAATACTGAGGGCGGCGAGGCTGTCATAGGGCCGATGGAATAATGAAGACCGCGGGGCTCCCCCCCAGTTATGTAGTGACACTAATCCACCCGTCTAGTTTTCTAAAATTCCAAGCCTGTATGTTAAAAACAACTCCCTAGCCCTTTTCCTTGTGGGGATAGAAGGGCGAAGGTGCAGCTCCTAGGGTTGCCAACCTCCAGGTAGTAGCTGGGGGATCTCCCGGGATTACAGTTTATCTCCAGGCAACATTATCTGGAGAAAATGGCCCCTTTGGAAAGGGGGCTCTTGGGCATTAAGCCCCACTGAAGTTCCCCCCCTCCCCAAATCCCACCCCCTCAGGCTCCACCCACAAAATCTCCAGATATTTCCTTGGGGCTGGCAACCCTAATAGCTCCACAATGAAACCAGCCAGAGCGGGGCGCCTCAACCTTCTCGGAGTTTTTGGAGGGTGGTGAGTGCCACTGCTCCAAAATGGCTTCCAGGGAAGCAGAGCCAAAGTGGCTGCCGCAGGAGGTCGAGTCAAAGTAGGGTTTCTGGCCCACAATCTGCCACTGCCCAGCTGGCCTGTGGGGGAGCCCTGCCCCCGAGCAGCCCCATCTGCACCCAACGTTCCCAGCGCGATGATGTCACCAGAGGTGATGACGTCACATGGGGACACTGTAGCATTTGGGGGGGAACTCTGTGGTAACCTTAGAGTTTCCCCCAAATGCTAGAGTGTCCCCATGTAATGTCATAGAGTTTCCTTCAAAAACTACCCTGCCGTGATGTACCCTGCGTGATGATGTCATTTCAGGATGACATCGTTGTGCACATGCCAGAAGGCTCCTGGAAGAAGACAGGAGCCCCCTGGCAAGGACCTAACAAGGCTAAATGAAATACCTCACACCACCTGGGAAGGAGGAAATCCTGAAGGGAGAATGAAACCACACACTGACGAAGGAAAGCCCAGGCGCTTGTCAGTTCTCCTAGTCTTCCAGAGGGAAACCATATTGTCTCAGTGAGAGCAGCCAATAGCAAGCCCTGCTTTACCATGGCCCTGCCCACTTCCTAACAAGCTTGGCAGATGTCCAGGGAAATACTGGTGGGTGCTGCGGTGCCCACAGGCACCATGTTGAGGAACCTTGGCTAGAGGGTTGGTTTTTTAAGAGTGAAAGCTGGTAATTCAAAGAACCTGGGAACTGCTGTCATGTTATAATCTAAAATAATGCGTGAGTTACTACTGTTTCCCCAAATTCCCTCTGGTGGTGGAAGAAATGGCCACGGTAGTAGATTAGGGCAAGGAATAAGGTCCAGACTGGGAAATTTCATTCATTTCATTTAATTCATTACATTTTTATCCTGCCCTCCCCACATGCGGGCTCAGGGCGGCTCACAACAAGGGCACTGAGTGCCAAATATAAAACATTAAAATCAGAATAAAACAACCAATTAACATTAATAAAGTGCTCCATGATATTCCTATTTTAGTCAAGTCAAGATGAAGGCTTGTAGATGTTAACCCAGAGCCCATTTCGGCGGCACCGATCCATCACGGTACTACAGTGGTCTTATATTGGGCCATCCCATTGCCCCATTGTTACCACAGGATGGTCGGTGGTGGTGGTAGTGGCGGCTCCTAATTAAAAGCCTGGCGGAAGAGCTCCGTCTTGCAGGCCCTGCGGAACTGTGAGAGGTCCCAGAGGGCCCTGATCTCACACGGGAGCTCGTTCCACCAGGTAGGAGCCGCCACTGAAAAGCCCCTGGCCCTGATTGCCATAAGCCTGGCCTCTGTGGGGCCTGGAATCACCAGACGATGTTGGGCCCCTGACCGTAGTGCTCTCTGGGGTATGTATGGGGAAAGCCGGTCCCGCGGGTACGTTAGACCCTGGCCATATAGGGCTTTAAAGGTAAGCACCAGCACCTTGAAGCGGATTCGGAACGCTATGGGCAGCCAGTGCAGCGCTTTCAGCAGAGGCCGGATGTGATCCCATCTAGGGAAACCCATCAGAAGCCTGGCCGCAGCATTCTGCACTAACTGCAGCTTCCGGATCTGCGACAAAAGCAGGCCCATTGGACATTTGGCAGGGGGGAGCTGGGGACGCCCTCAGCAGAATATAATGCCATAAAGGCCACTCTCCTGAGCAGCCATTTCCCCCAGGGTAATGAGTCTCTGTGGTCTGGACATAGGGTTGCCAACTTCCAGGTGAGGCCCGGAGATCTCTGGGAATTACAATTAGGGTTGCAAAGTCTTACCTGTGATGGAGTGGGGGGGAACCCCACCCCCAAAGTGCTGGGAACACGGAGACGTGCCTGGCGTGATGACGTCACCCAGAACTGACGTCATCACGTTGGGGGCGGGGCCAGTATCATTCGAGGGGAAACCATCGAGAGTTCCCTCGAATGGCAGAGCGTCCCCCCACGACGTGCCCGACCCGATGATGTCACCTCCGGGTGACGTCATCACGCCGGGCATGTCTCCGTGCACCCGGCACTTTGCGGGTGGGGTTCCCCCCGGCGGCCCAATCCAGGCCGGCGGGGAACTGACCCAATTAGCGGGGGTTTCCCCGCGCCCCCGGGGGACCTGCAACCCTAACTGCAATTTATCTCCAGACTACAGAGATCAGTTCCCCTGGAGAAAGCGGCTGCTTTGGAGGGTGGACTCTATGGCGTTATACCTCCCCAAACCCTGCCCGCCCCACGTTCCACCTTGAATTTCCCAACCCAAAGTTGGCAACCCTGTTGTGAGTTAGTTGTACTTGTGGGAGATTTCAAGGCCCCATCTGGAGACTGTCAGCCCTAGCAGGGGAAATGGTGTTTATGTGGAAGATGCATGGGTGACACCCCACTTTGCCGTGATCATTCTCACAGTGCCGCAGCAAAGCAGGTTCAGAAAGACAGAAAACATGGGAGGTGTGCAGAAGCAACAGGCTACTTGAACACGCATAAAGCTGCCTCTACTGAGTCAGGCTATTGGTTCTTCAGGGTCAGTATTGTCTACTCAGACTGGCAGCAGCTCTCCAGGGTCTCAGGCAGGGGTCTTCCACATCACCTACTACCAGATCCTTTTAACTGGAGATGCCGGGGACTGAATCTGGGACCTTCTGCATCCCAAGCGGATGCTCTACCCCTGAGCCAAAGCCCCTCTCTACAGCTCTCTAACGTCTCAGGCAGAGGTCTTTCCCATCACCTCCTGCTTGGTCCTTTTGATTGGAGATGCTGGGGGTTGAACCTGGGACCTTCTGAATGCCAAGCAGAGGCTCTGCCACTGAGCCACGGCCCCTCTTTACAGCTCTTGAGTGTCTCAGGCATGAGGTCTTTCCCATCACCTCCTGCCTAGTCCTTTTAAGAGGAGATGCCGGGGACTGAACCTGGGACCTTCCGAATGCCAAGCAGGCCCTTCGCCACTGAGCCATGGCTCCCCCTTTACTCTCAAGTGAAAAGAACCCCACTTCCCACTAGCATCCCAGCCCAGCAAACACCCTGTGTGTCAGTGCCCTCGGGGTTGTTGGCGCCGAGCGTGATTTGCTCTCCTTATTTCGGTTACGCATTACTTAATTGTTTCCCACATAGCCTGACAAACCCGCAGGCTAACTGCTGAAAATGAAAAGTCAGCCACAAAACATTAATGAACAGTTCGAATGAATCATGGACATCAGTTTACTAATTGATTTGGAGGCATTTGAGAATTCTCCCCAAAAACAGTTCTAAAGGCGGTTCTCAAGGATATGGTCTGTTTGTAGCGCTAGAGCAGCTGAAAGCAACAGAGTCGAAGAGCAGATGGGACGATATGGTAGCATCGAACAGAAGGGGGCAGGGCTATTTTTGGGCAGGAACGCACAGGAACGGAGTTCCGGCTGGCTCCTGAGTTGGCCACGCCCAGCAGGAACTCATTAGCATAATGGGCCACACCCAACAGCAGGAACTCATTAGGATTGGCTACAATTAGGGGTGTGTGACCTAACATGCAAAGACGTTCCTGCTATTTAAAAAGGCCCTGGGTTTTGACAACAAACAAGGTAAACAAAATAAGAAGCAAAAGGTGGGTGTGGCTGGATAACCACACTTCTGGTAACATGGGGGTGTGTCCTAATGTGCTAATGAGCTGTGCTGGCAGGGGCGTGGCCTAATATGCTAATAAGTTTCTGGTGTTGGGTGTGGCCTATTATGCTAATGAGTTCCTGCTGGGCTTTTTCTACAAAAAGAGCCCTGGAAGGGGGCTATTTAAAACCACAATGCCAAAGGAGGCAAACCCTCCTACCTCATGCCTTTGCCTTGGCTGAGACGAGGGTTGCCATTGCTGCGTTGGAAAATACTTGGCGATTTCGGTGGTAGCGCCTTGGGGAGTTTGGGGTGGGAAGGGACTTCACCCGGGCATAAAGCCATAGAGTCCACCCTCCAAAGAAGCCCTTTTCTTCTGGGGAACTTATCTTGGTCATCTGGAGATCAGTTGTAGTAGCGTCCCTTTAATCAGGGGTCATTTCGTAGAAAAGGAGGTGCAGGAGCTCATTAGCATAACTCATTTGCATAGGCCACACCCCCTGACATCACCGGAACTGGGTCAGAAGGCAACACCCACCGCTCAGGCTCCACTAGACTGTTTTGGA